TATTGTGCGAATGAAAAAGGCTATTCTTCAACTTCATAAATGTTTTGCACATAAACATTTGGAACAGTTTCAGAGAATCTTACTTACAAAAAGAACTTAAACGTAGACAAGACTTACAAACTGCAGCAGGTTTTATCACTGTCACTTCACGGATAACACTGAGACCTTCAAGATCCACGGTCCAGTAAGTATTTAGTTGATGGTGCGTTCTTGTACAATTAGAGTCAGCCGTGCTGTTGTTTCCATCCACTGCTAGAGTGGCCGAGAACCACTCGTCATCTGTATAAGAGTAGTTGGTGTTTGACTGACTGGCTGGCTTGCCATAAGCTAGGTTACCATGCTCTGAAATAAATGAGGAATAGGCTGTATAATACTAAAAAGACAATACAAAATATACATGTTGAAAATATCTAACCCAACATTATTAAAATGATTAAAATACTAGAAGATATTGGATCGGTGGAAAAAGAGAAGCATAATCAAAATATAAAGACATCTAACAGCTTTGTTAAAAAGTCAAAATAACAACTCTCACAAATGTTTGAATGGTGTCGCTGTTGAATAGCTGGAGTAATGTTTAAAAGAACTGTGACTCACCATCATGGCATCCTACTCCCCAGGGGTTGTCCACGCAGTGTTCAGGACATGTTCCTAGAGTCTGTTGACATGTCTGTCCTTGTTTACAGAAACACCCAGTCACGTTGTCACACTGCCAGCCAAAGTAACCGTCACCTTCCATACAGCACATACACAGGTACACTGGTGATAGAAAGAATGTATTCAGAAATACGTAATTACAGTGTCACACCGCCATTCAAAGTATCCAATACCATCCACACAGTACTAGTAGTATACTGTGAATAATAAGAATATAGATAAACCCCGCCAAGAAAATGTTTGTAGATAAATACAATAGTAAGTTTAATCATTCAGGACGGTAGGGTGAGACCCCCCCCCCCCCCCCCAAAAAAAAAAAAAAAAAAAAAAAAAACATGTTTAAAAACCTCAGGGTAGGGGTTGAGGTTACTCCACACACCGCAGCCTTCGCATACCTAGGCCTATTGTTCTTGTTATTTATTTTAGTCCAGAGATATTTTAGGGAATAGGAACTGTCAGTCTAATGAAGTGTAACTCGTGTTCCTTTGAACTTGAATTTTCAAGAACAACAGAAAAATACATTTTGTCGCATTGGTATGCCTGATGAGATCCTTGACGATAAAACTTTTTAAAGTATCGCTTAAAGACAGTAACTAAGTAATCTTTACATGTAAAATGTCCAATTTACCTGTTAAATATATCACCCAGACAACCAGGAAGTAGAGGTTCCTCGGCAGAGCAGCCATCTCGTCCTTTTTTTTCACCTGGTATAAACACATTCTTTAGCTAGCCTGTTCCTTTATGTTACACCTGAGGTACAACAATGTTGATGGACAAAGGAACACTTCTTTCTTTGAAAAAATTGAAGTGACTGAACTAACTTTTCATGCAATGTAAACCGTTGTTAGATCAATGAAATGGCGTATTTTGATCCATGACTTTAATCCTCTTTGACAGTGTATTAGAACTGTTCTTTGTAAAAAATAAATGGGACACACGATTTTACCTGTGCAAGTATAATGCATATAGGCATGGAGACAAAATGCTAACCAAAAAGCAGAACACCGATGGCTGATCCCCATCCCACCCTCAATCTTTATTTCATGTAATCCTTAACTCCAGATTGACTTTTCAAACGTTGCCTAGTGGCTTAACAGTTCCTGTGACTCGTTAATTTGCAATAAGAGACATAACGTGGAAGAAAAAAGAAAGAAAGAATAGTTCCATACACCGGTCTCACAAGTTGAAAAAAAAAAACATGTTGACAATACGTCGCACCAGAAAATGCTTTGGCCTAACAAATTTGTACGGGGAAAACAGGAAATGGTTAGAAATGAGGCATGCACCGGCACATTGCACTTTTTTTCTGAAAGCCTCAAGAGTAGAAAATGGCCAGCATTTGAATACGGCAGAGATTGTGGGTTTTGTGTTGATGAAAACACAACTGAATGATTTACACGAGGTATATGTTCTGGGGGGAGGGGGTGGGAATTAAAATGTGTATTTTAAAGTCATTATTCTATTAAAAAGATTATCCTCACAAGAATATGTCACAAGAAACAGAGCTTTAAGTTTTTTAACAAAGACATTAAATGTCACAGATAAGAAAATTAATGAAAGTAGATATAGAAATGCAATATTCAAGGATTGATTGAACAAACTGAACAACTCTTGAGAATTGCAAGGTAGCAAGTGGACATGACGATCTCTTATTTTAACAACTGGCACTGTATTATGAGCCATTGGAACTTTTTTCTAAATATTTTGGTATTTTGGAGGGTGAACGGTGCTATGTGGTACGGTTTAGAACTATGGTCAAAATTCTAATTTCAAATGGGAACCATTAGTGTGATTTTTTTCAGAAATCAAAGGGAGTGGTCAGGACTCCCCCACTGACCCCCCTAAGTCCGCCACTGGTTATCCATTCGTTCGTGAAATACGCTATTTATATTTATCAGATGTTGACATAGATTGAAGGTAGTAATCTGTTTGAACACTCACACTACAGTCATTTATTCGAATAAATAGCGAATTAGGTCCCGATTCGAATAACTGTAGTAGTCTGAACGCGTGAGGATTTTTGTTAAGCGGATTTTCAAAATCCTGCTAGCGAGCTGGATTTTCTTCAGCGATTCGAATAATAATAATAATAAGAAGAAGAATGCAATGTATAATAATTACGCGGGACAAACTAGAAAAGTTATCTAAGACTGCAAATGACGTGATGGGACAGATCTTACCCCGTTCAATCTATTTATCTTGAGAGAGTAGCAAATAAAACAATGTCTATCACAAGTGGCAAAGCCCAGCTTGCTCACAACTTTTAATTTTTTCCAAGCAACTACAGGCTTTTAGTATTTATGGGCAATAAACAATTTTTATGTAGCTTTTATCCGTAAGTCGTATCTTTTTTTAATACAAACTTACAAAGTCATACTTTTTTTATTCATACGAAGCTTTTACTGTTGTTGTTTTTTTTAAATAAAAAGACGCTCTTACAGAACATTTTCTTCCCGATAATGTTTATTTTATATTTTTATTGACTAAATAAACATAATGTTTATTTTATATATTTATTGACTAAATAAACATTTACCTAATCTCATCTTAAGAGGTGGGTCGGGGGGCTCAATACGTTTGGAATTTTCGTGGGAAATTCCCTGACATCCGACTTTCAAAGAATGAATCAATAGGTCGGCACGGGAAAATTCAGTAAGATGACAGACAACTTGGCCCGCAAGCGGCCTTCAATCCATCTTATTTTTATGTAAAACGTCTGGTGGCAAAGGAGAGGGAAGACAAGAAGAGCGTGTTAATAAATAACTCAAAAACCCGATTTCCAAACTTACACAAACGACGGGGTTATTTAAAAACAACCTTAGTACTTCCATTTTGTATTCGTTTGGTCCACATTTATTCAATTAAGTTCACTTTGTAATCAAGTAATTGATTTGCTTGGACCTATATATCGAGAATCAGTATAAGTTGATAAATAATTCTGACATTTTGTGCCTTTCTCTCCTCTTTTGCGAGCCTTTCGATGTACGCTCTTATTAGAGCACGAATGTAATCTCCACGCCTGTGCTATACTGTATGGGTACATTTGAAACAAAGAAAGACATTATATGAAGTAACTCCATGCTCATATTAATAAAAGTGCACTGTGTGTAAAAGAGTCTAACTATTTTAATTTTCAGTTATGGGATTATTCTACATTGTGAAATATAAATATAGTACAGGCATATGAATGAGTATTTTGTTCCATCATCAAGTGCTATATAAATTATAAATAGACGCGAGTAGGTTGACACAGTTTGATAACAATTAACCCCTTTAACCCCCTCCCACCCTCTTTCCCCCATAATCTGACAAAAGAAAACTTTATTTTTGCGTTTGGCTTGGAAATGATTGTTAGATAATAAAGATTGAAGCTGTGATGTTGTCAATGTCCCACGCCTCTTCCACCACTTGTGATGTCAATTTAAAAGCAGTGGTAACGGAAGACGCCCTTCTTCTTATTGCGCCCCTTCCTGTTTTTCTTGCTGTGTTTCTTGTCCTTGGCGTTCTGGGGCTGTGCTGCCAACACTTCGCCGGCTTTTGGCTCCTCGTCTTTCAAGTGGCCAAGTTTTGGAGATGCGTCTTCCCCGGTTGTGTCCTCGAGAACGGTGTCTGGCATCTCTTCAATTGGGCATGCTTTGATGGAAGGCTGTAACCGACCAAAATTAAAAAATGTGTACATTTTGCTCGTACAGTTTACTACTTGCCTATTTCTATAAGAACATGCTTCGGTAGTTACATGCTTGTACGCTCAAATGCTGGATTTGTTTAAGTCCAATTACTCCGTAAGTTGGAAAAAAAATTAAATACGATACTGAAATAAGTCCACATTGATAAATCAATTTAAATTTAATATCAAAAGCACTAAATACAAATAAATTTCATTTGTACAGGGCTTGCATTATTTATTTACAAACCTCCTCCTCCTTCTCTTCCTCCAGAATGACTGCCTCAGGGACAACGGTGCTGTCTTCTGCCACGCCTGCCTCAGCCTGAATGCTGATGTCGTCAAGGATGGCGTTGGGCTTCTCGTCCATGGAGAAGGCAATGTCCTCCAGCCTCTCGAGCATGGCCTCATCTCCTTCGTCGACATCTTCTTTTGGAGATGCCTTGATTGCAAGCTGTGTCTGAAAAAAATACACTAGCTTAATGCATAATATTTGATTGCATGGTCCATTGATGGTCTACACATAATAGGCCGCGCATTATGCATATTTAATTCTGTCCATAATTTGTCATAGTCCAATGTTTTTTTATTTATATGGTGCTATTTGGTTGTGTTTAAAACAATGTCAATAATGAATCCAACAATACTGAGCTATAACCAAGAATAAAAATAGACGATATATATTAATTTCATGCGAAATGATATATATCTATTTACAAACCTCTTTCTTCAGCAAGAACTCCAGATTGTCTGTCTTTGGGGGAACAATATGATCTTTATCCCCATACCCTTCTTCTATAACAATAACATGAAAATGACTGAACTGGTAACAAAGTAAATTACAAAAACAAAGATGAAAAACTACGATCAATTATTCAACGATGTTTTATTTAGTTAGTTATTATTATTATTTTTGAGTGCTATTATTTCGAAAGAAAAAACGAACAAAACTGATCCGAGAAATACTCAATGCTAGATGGGACATTACAGTTGGAAAGCTGATGATTTTTAAACAAAAGAAACTTGACATTTGTAGGCCTACTGACCTTCCATTTGACTAAGTTTTTTCTTCATCTGGTCTATCTCCAGTTCCAGACGTTTCAGATGGGAATTCTCAGTCTGGAACTAGAATAAGAACCAAACATTTTTTAAAATTCATTAGGAAACAGATTTATCCGGTCAAAAACACAATCCATTTAAATGATGGAGATAGTTGGCGACTACAGATATACGGTACACGTGTGCAAGTTGCCGAAATATCATAACATTTTAAATGAACAAAAATGAGTGGCTGATGAATGGACCTTAATCAAACAAAAAATGGAACCACTTATTGTAAAGGAATCTTTTACCTTTTCCTCGACTTGGACAGCTTTGGTATCGTTCTTGTCCCCTCCTGCAGGAATATCCTCATCTAAAATGTTACATCATTTTTATAAGTTACTGACTAAGGAAAATACATGTAGGATATATAGTTGAAAAAATAAAGTATGATACACAAAATAATGCATTGCTTCTAAAGGTAAACATCAGCATAGAATAATCGATTATAAGAATATATATTAAGCAAGACTTTAAAAAAGACCAATGCATGACAGCCACAGACCAACAAATCTGCACATAAACAGCTGGGTGTATATTAAACACAAAACATAATCCCACGTCACAAACTCATCTCCTTCTTTATTATTACGAACCTCCAGTTATCTTGATCACGATAGGCCCGACTTCTTCACATGGCTTGCTCAGTCCCGCCATCACATCATCAGGTGGCTGAATAATGAATTAAATTTTAAATCACACAATGCAAAACCATGCAAACAATTAAAAATATATCTAATCGTAAAGAAAGGGATATCGTCCGTTGGGGGAGTAGACCAAAACCCTGCTTGTGTTTTTAAAAATATTATTGTTAAAGCTGGACGCAGTGCGCACAAAAAATGTTTGGCGTATATCAAATAGAAGTCTACCGCAAAGATTATAATATATAGGTACATATTAAAAAACAGAATGCCCTTACCTTAGCCCCCAGAAGTCCATTGAGCCTGTCAATTTCGTCATGTTGACGAGATATGGTCAACATCAGTCCAGTAACACGATTCACCATTGCTTCTTTCTCCCACTTCAGCAGCCTTTTATCCTCTTTCTCCAGTTGAAATTCCCTCTCTAATTGGGCCATTCTTCTTTCAAGAGTGGCCATCCTTTCAGTGTTAACCTGTCGTTCGCTGCCCAAGAAATCTGAGACAAGAAGTTAAAAAGTCAATTTGCACAGCAGAAAAACAGAACGGCAAGTTAAAAGCCTTCAGAAAAAGAACAGCCATAAATCGGTTCATCCTGACCACAAAAAATCACCGTTTGGATTATATAAATCGCTGTCTATACTTAGGATTGCTTACATTGACGTTTACCATAATCTTACAGCACTTTCCTCAAAACTTTTTCCCCTTCATTTCAGTTCAATTTTCGGTTTGTTATTAATCCATTAAATAAGATAATTAATGACCGAAATATAAACCTTTTTAAAATTACCTACCGATACGTTTCTCCAAATCTGCTATTTTTGAAGTGGTTTCTTCAGTATGTGTATCTGCAAAACTGATAGCCTCCTTGGTGTTCTGGAGAGCGCTTTTGTTTGTGTTCACTTTATTTAACACTTCGTCCATTTGGCATTTCAATACCATTAGGTGGTGATTAATCTTTGAACGTTCTAGTTCATTCGCAACCTCGATCGCTCTTTTCTTCCGAATTTTAAATAGACCTAAAATAAGAACGCAAAAACGTGATTTTTTTTTCAAATCGTAACATTAGGACACAAATGGTAAATTGTGGCAGTTTATCATTGGATTTCAACTCCCCAGAATTAATTTGACTGTTTATCTAATATTATATTTATGATAATATGCACCCCCTACCCCATTATTGCTACCCCGAATCCGCCAGTTTTTGACATGTGATTGTAAGAGTTTTTGACATGTGATGTTAATGCCCGAATGTGTCGATTTCTTTTTGAGCCTACCTTGTCTTGATTTATAAAAGAAAGACTGTATTCAACGACAAGAGAATTTTTTTCTCTCCAAATTCTCCGAAATAATTTAGTATACAGTATAGGCCTACACTGAATTAGTTATGCATTAGGGAAAGTAATGAATAATGGATTGGAGTATTTTCCTCTGATATATCGAGAGGATACGAAATCAAAACTATATAACATGGTATTTAGATATTCGTATGTGCACACCAGTTCGAATAATTTTCTATCTTTGTTGCCAGTCCCCGTTTGATACTTTTTCACCCGAAAAGTCCCAGTGGACAGCATTTGTCATACCCGACCCGTTAAGTTCTATATTTTGTGACTGAATTATCCACAGCAACGAGTATATATTGCATTTTGTAAAACGTCTTTAGCAATGTGGTGTACCCTGGAATTTAAGAGATTTGCCCAGTGAATAAGTAAGAAACCATTTTATGGTAGGCCTGCGATATTGAGATATATTATTGGCCTTACTCGTTTATATTCAATACGAAAATTACTACGAAAATTAAGGTTTAGTGAATCAAATTGTATTTAAAACATAGATGGAAGATAAGGAGTAATAAATTTCACCATATTTCTTCATATATGTCAGTATCTTACACTGAAAATATATTGGTGAAAGAGAGCAAAAAAATTTACTCACCCATTGTCACGCATTCGGAAATTCTAAATTACCTTGGTAACGTGGTGATTATGCATATCAAGACAAACCACGTTCATTATGACGTCACGTTTTCTCACGCGTCATCTTGGTCTTCATTGAAATCGCGGCTTCGATTACCACGTCAAAATTAAGAAGAGCGTTCTTTTTAATGTACGACTAATGGTTTTTTAGGTTATCATTGTTTTGTTATTTCTGCTGAAACGTTACAGTAATGTGGATGTCAGTTTTTACCCATGAAATTTTATATACGAATTTCATAACATTTCTCATTATCATTCTGTAAAAAATTTCTGTCTAAATGAGAGCTCTGTGTAAAGTTTGATAAAAGCACAATTGACGTGCATGGATGACATTGACATTTATCTTATAAACGGTAAATGTAAATATCTAAAAGTGAAATGGTGAAAACAAAAAACATCTGATAATTTTGAGGTCTTGAAACACCATTTCGGAAATAGCCCTCCGACGCAAAGACCAAGCGGATAAGGGTTGGAGATATTGGGAAATTAAACCATGAGTTTTTATTAATTGAAACACCGAACTTGTTCTACGGTACCTTGGGATATATGGCATTTCATTTTTGGTCGCATTCCGAGAAATTGATTACCGTGACTTATCCCGAATATACCAGATATATGTCGCATGGTCTTAAAATTCCAGACCTATCTGTATTTTCTTAAAATTCATGAACTATTTGTATTTTCATGCAATACAATTTTGGAAAATTGGCACATTGAGTTTCAGAGGTCACTGGAAACTCCATTCTCTAGAAGATTTAAAGGTAAATGAGGCTTTAGATTTGAAGAAATATGACATGATAATATGGAAAGTTCCCAACATTTTGTTTGCAATATACTGTGCTTAAAATGTTGAATAAAAACTTTGAAAGTACATCTTTATGGGTAGCTAAAATGATAAATCTTGAAAGAATAAATGTGCCGTTATAAAACGAGAACGGTGTCAATGCACGTTATTCATTTCGCTCAGTTTTTAACGTTTTTGTGAACCACGTGTATTTGGATACTGTATATAGACACATTTATCTTAAATTAACATTGAAATATAGCAAGCATCTTAAAACCTGTTAGATCGATCTAAGTATAGGAACCCAGGTTTAGTGGACGGAGATCGCTTGTAGTTCTGCAAGGAAAGGCCGGGTTTGGAGAAGGCACAAGGATCGCAAGAACATTTACACAAAGGCAGGAGTTCCTTATTTTAACGTGAGGGCAATAGAAATATACATTTTGGATAATTAAATGTTTATTGATCACTAAATGCAGATTCAGTTACATACACATGCTTTCTATTCAGCATAAATATGTACAAAAACTCTACACTTAACAACTTTACACACCTGAAAAGAAACTTAAAGCAATATAAATAAATCCAATGCACGTTTCCAAGTTTACATGCATATGGAAGTATAAGCATTTATTCTGCCAAAAGATGTTTTCATCACGGTGATGAGAAACCAACGCACACACTGGTACATGCCTGTTTCTTCTTAATGCACATCACTTTGTTAACGCGTCATTTTTCGTTCTTTTTTCGTTTTTTCTCTGTAAATTCATTGGTGATGCCAGTCATGCGTAATTTATTTATTGAGATGCATCAACATACAGTATCATCCGTTTAGCATATTTCTGCTTACATATTGCACATAATTTCATGACGCTCGTACAGTAGGCCTATGTCATTCCCCTGTGCCTTATATCATTCCCACAACAAACAGCTTTCCAATCATGGAAAATTCAATCTTTTCGAAACTTACACGTGCCTACACGCGCACATACTTGACACCCTCCCCATCCTGGTTAAGCTCACAGTAGTGTGGCTCATCACGGTTCACAGCTGCCACGTCAATGTTGCAGTACGCCTCGTTCGTATCCGGGGAGGAGGTTGTGCTTGTTGAGGCTTGAACAAAGCATTGATAATACTTGATTTGACTTACTATGCACCAAGTAAGGTTTAAGTTGGAATACCACGCGTAAGCCGTACCCAAGCGTGGTCGTACTGATACATAGTACAAGACATCCAATAGTATACAAGTTGTATACCACTGCATGTACCACTGCACTTGCAAACTCAAACGGACAAAACAACAAGTTCGAATTTCTGTTCATGTTACACTTATCTATAGAATACACGGTAGAAGTATACATCGAGAAAGAAATCTTTACAAATTATTTCATACACCGATATAAAAAAAGTTAAAGGAACAAAACTGAATATTTCCACATTAAACACCTCGCCTTCACCTACCAACGTTTGCCTGTATTTCAGACGAAGGAGCCTGTCGTCTATACCTGCAAACAGAGAACACCAAGAAAGTTTGAAATGCATGTGATTACAAAAACACATGCAATACATGCATTTCAAACTTTCAATTACATTGGTTTCGACGCCTGAAAATAATATACAATTAAAAATTCACTTGTGATTAAATGATCAGATTACAGTGATCTACAATAAGTATATATCCATATATATACTTATTGTAGATCACTGTACAATAAATAAGTATATATCCATATAAATGCTTGTCTTGTATACGAAAGATGACACTGGTTTCAATCCAATTATTTCTTTCATCAATATTGTCTTTTTGAATACGACCACAAGATTCTCTAATATTCAAATCATTTGAATGTGCAACCTGAGACAGAGAACGACAGCGATGACAATGGCCGCCGCCACCATTGCTCCGGCCACCAAAATCCCTGCAACTATTGCAGTCGAATCTATAAAAAAAACACATCGAGTAAAGATACAGTCATGTTAGAAGTTTTCATCATTCATGCAAGTAAGGGTTAACAATGACAGTTTATGTACAATACTTATAATGAAATGTACATAAGCACATAATAAGTCCACATTTACATTCCCTCATCTGTTTTTTTTTACCGCTTAAAACAAAAGAAGAACCAAACAAGAACATACAACAGATGTTTAAGTAACACGAAGTAACCCATAAAACATATTATGTTTACGCGTCAGCGTGCACGCCATGGTCGCTGCAAATTTTTGCAAACGCACAAATGTCACAGAGGAGGTTGGTCGCTGAGAGGTGACGCAAGGAAGGCAGAAAGTGGGCACAAATATTTCTGTGGTTACTGAATGGGTGCCCAATGGTCGGTCAGTGGTCGGCACCTCTTAGAAGCATTTCTCTGGGTATTTTTAACAGAGGCAAGAAATCTGAGAGTATCAGCAACTGGTAAATTCACACCAGCCTTAAAACGTTATCTCCTTATAGTATTTTTTTCTCAGTTCTTGAACCAACCTATTCGAGATTAATTATAGAACGAATATTCGGTCGTAGTTCAAGATGCAGTTATAGTCGCAGTTTTTGCAGAGTTATTCTGTTGTAAACGGGTTGAAACCTGTATTGTGTCAGCCAGTGGCAGCCCCTCCAGGTTTAGCCTATGGTTTCTTTAAGGTCTGCCCATTCTTCATATAAGGACAGCAATGACCATCTGGCTATAATCAGGGCAGGCAGACCTAGTATTGCCGTAGCTTGGCAAAGAAGTCGATTCCTAATCATTTGTTTAGCTAGTATGTTTTTAATTGGCGGACTGGGACAGGAGACCTACAAAATTATAATAGAGCAAAGACATATCCAATCAAAGCAGTCGCCAAAGGTCACCCAAACATAGCTCATCAGTCTCAAAGGAGACAGAAGCATGGTTAGTTGGTCGCAACCGATCGACATTGGACGCCAATGACGGTACAGAGAAAGCAAAAAGGAGGCTAGACGATCGCCCAAACAACGTTCGGATGTCGTCTGTATTGTCTGTGATCGTGTTGGACGCCGTAGTTTGCATATAGCTTACGCACAGACGAGGCAGACAAGTTGCTTAGGGACCATTCTCAGACCCTATCGTACTAACTGTGGATCGATCCATCTCCGAGGAGATTCTCGCTAAATTGTAATTAACTTAAGCGGATTAGATGTCTGTCACGCCTACTGAAGCTGCAAGGGGGTAATTAATTAGACGCTTAAGCTGAAAGCAATTTACCGAGAAACCCGTTGGAGTTGGATCGATGCTGTTAGATCGATCTAGTTATGAGAACCCAGTCTTAGTGGACCCAAAGGTCGCTTGTTGTTCTGCGGGAAAAAGCGGGTTTGGAGACGGCACACGGATATCAAGAACATTTACACAAAAGCAAAAACTCTAATCTCACGAGTGATTATTTGCAAAAATAATAATAATAATAATAAAAATAAAAATTAAACATAAAGAAAGGTAAAAAAGCTGTCAAACTAAAGCTAATTTTGTTTCTAGATTTTATCAGTTTGGTGCAACTTATATATACATTTGCCGAATGTACCAAGGTGGAAAACGTACTTGGAAGATAGAGATGAAATTACATGTGAGAAAATAGAGGAATGAGACTCGAATAGAAGGATAAATGAAAGATAGGAGAAAGATACCTGTATCATCGCGTGTTGTACCGGTATGCTGAGCAATGACGTCACTGTACTCTCCGTAACCAACCGCAGTCTGCGCACGAATCTATGAAGCGATGAGAAAGCTACTTTACTCATAAAAGACACGTTTGAAATAAAAATCCGTTTGTGACTTTGATATTGTAAAGGAAGCTCAATTATGATTATAACAACATACATCGGTAATGACGTTTTACAATTTGAAAGATCCCTTCACAATACACTCTACATGTGCAAAATATTAAAACTAACTTACTTTAATGGTATACGATGTCTTTGTCAATAGATTTTGAATAGTTGTCCTTTTGATGCTGGGCCTTCTTGATGCCTGCTCACAGAGTTGGCCATAGGGACAGTATGATATCTCGTATTCGGTGATTTTGCCACCAGGGGGAGATGGCTCTCTCCACTCTAACTCTATTGAATTCTCGTCTACATTAGTAACAAATGGTGGTCTCATTTTGTTGGGGACTGAAACAGACATTTTAGGCACTGACAATAATAATAATAATAATAATAATAATAATAATAATAATGATTTCGGAAAATTGCGAATATTAAATTAAGAGATTTTACTTACAGTTTACACTGATGGGATTCTATACAAACCTATATGGGACAATTATACGATTACTACTCGGAATTAAAGACTTGACATTGTATTTATGAGAATTAAAAAGCTCATTGCTGTCTTAGTAAGGTGCCAATAAAACTTTCCGTGAGAATCTTACGTCCTTCAGCAGTAGTATGAAGCATCGTCATTGGTGGCCCTTCCAACAGTAAGTTGTTCACTACTGTTAGATAAATGGTGTATCGACTAAATGTTGCTAGATTGGTAATGTTAATCAGTTGTGTGTCATTCACTTGTGGGACTACGATGGCTCCCGAATCATTGAGTTCTCCTTCATAGCGTATATTCAATTTCGCAAACCCGTCGCATCTATGGATCGCTTGGGTCATTTCCTAATATACAGAATGGACTTTTTATACTAATGGCACAGATAATAAACAAGTTAGTGAATGGAGGATACATGACAATACTCCGTTACTCTTTGTGCCAGATAAAACTCGGAGAGACTAAATAATAATAAGCACACGATAAAAGGGCCATACCAAAAGATGTCCTGTTCATTTAAATGACTTTTGACAAAATAAGTGAATGACTGGGATTGAAATAATACATATTTAACCACACCAAACAAACAAACACACCGCTGTTCGTAGCTCTATGTAGGCGGATCTGTTCGTTGATTCAAGATAAGAAGAAATGGTCGGTTCAGGTGGTGCCACAGGTTCTGAAAAACCAAAAGGAATATAGGTATTGCAAGTTTTTTTAACAATTTCCCTTTTTTTCGCTTGGTAAAAAGATATGTTGCTCTTTCATTAAAATTCAATGTTAATGTAAAAGAAAATTTGATTACCCCCGCATGTTCTCACAGTAATTATTGGACTGGGCATGCCATTATGTCCTGTGCCATTTCTGACGGTGACATAGACATTGTATTCCGTGTAATCAGCTAGACTCTGCACTGTAGCTATATCGTTATCTGGCGACACTGTCACTTCCTTGATCGGTTCTCCTTCTCGCCTAAACGAAATTCCATAGCTTTGGATGGTGCCAATTCCTTGGTTTTTCTCGGGTGACCACTTTTCCCACCTGATGGTGACTGAATGTTTTGTCCTCGTAACTATTGTTGGAGCTGTAGCGATGTATGGGCTTGCTGTTGTAAATGGCAAAAAAATTCATCATTAGATTTGACATGAATCAAGTACAGTTAGTTTCAAAGCCTTTGGAAAAAGCCTTGCAACATTGTCCTGAGAGACACAATATATTAAGATTTCAAAACAGCGAGTTTGTGATATTGAGCAATCAATAACTAGACAGCAAAGCTGGCAAATATACAGACACCATACAGGAAACAAGGCAGCAAAGCTGTCAAATGTTTAGACATAATGATTACGCAGAAAAAGTGCACCAAATAATGTTTTGGACAATTTTGATGCATTGTTACATAATGCTTTACAACAGCATAATCACTCTTACCCTCTTACATTATATACTACAGGTAACATGCACACTGAAAAACTAGCAAGTGGTTCAGTTCCAAGGATATAAAAGCTGCTGAAAATGCTAATGTGTGGAAAAAAAGATTAATTACCGTATATTTAAACCGATCATGCCGATTTTCGACAGCAATCTGCCTCTTTACCAAACAAAGCCCCTCAGTAAATTTTAAAGTAAAACGAAAATACGGTTTTGCAGTAATGGGACGAACGTCACCAAAGTTGTGCAAAAAACCAGAATAATTAACGTAAATGTAAACGATCAAGCCGGTTTTCGAAAGCAACCTGCCTCTTTACCAAACATAGCCACTCAGTAAATTTAAAGGAAAACAGAAATACGGTTTGTCAGTAATGGGGCGAATGTCATGTGTCGGACAGCGACAGCGACGACGCGGACAGACAGACCAATCAGAATATATACAGACACTTACAGTGTCTATATATACATAGACTAAAATAGTATACGGACCATCAACAACATAGTGCATCATAAGATATTAAGTCAAATAGATAATTTACTCTGTAACTATTACACTACCTATTTCACAATCCCCTTGGTGTCGGCCGTACCATCCCACTGCACAACCAGAAACACAAGACCCCGTCGCAGAATGGCATTGTTCATTCTCATCCTTACAGTTACATCTGCTTCGACATTCAGGACCATAATTTTTATTAGCACACTCTGAAAAACATTGAACTAGCCACTGAGGACTCGCTGGAAACTCACGGATAATTTTATGCATTCTTTACATTGTTTGTAAGCATTAACACTGTGGCGTTCTGTTTCAGTTCAACAAGATGCAAACTGCTAAATATGACAGACGACAAAAACCTATTTTCGAGCTGCTTTCACATCTTAACCTCTAAAAGAGATGTGAACAGTTTTAAGTGTTTTACATGTGGTTTTCTTTCTNCAGGGCCGTAGCCTGAGCAAAATGCCAGGGGGGGGGGGCAGTAAGCGGACACGAGGGGGCGAAGGAGGGTGTGGGAGGGGGCGTCCCCCTCTCACGGTGTGGAAAATTTTTTAAAACTGTATGTATAATACTGCATTCTGGTACATTTTAACTGTCATTTATTGCTCAATCAGAAGTCAACGGCCCTGTAAGGTTAGTCGGAGTATTGGGGTAAATAAATAGGACGAATGCCACCTGTACACGGAGCATCAAGTTAATAAAATAGACAAGTAACATTAGATCATATTTATTGCTTTACCTTTATATCTGTACCCTTTAATTGTCACCTCACAAAGAACCAAAGGTCCTTTAGACAAACTGACAGTCACAGTTTCACCAACAAGCAGTCCTTGACACTTGAATTCTACACTAGCCCCGTCAGGGACTGAGGGGCCACGCGCTGCACACAGGTTGTTTTCTGGACTCCTGCTGTTACCTATCCATATTTCTATATCGCGTAAATGTCGGCCACCTGAAACACAGCATTATATCATGTCACAACAGGTAAGTGTAGAGTGTAGTAGAGGTAAGTGTATAACTGTAGATCTCCATGCTTTTGACCACTCTCACGTACTACACTACTCAATGTTTACTGTTTAATGTGAATGGATTAATAAAGAAGGCTGAACGTCTGTCACGGCTCCACTCTACAACTTGTTGATTAAGTTGAGAGATGTCTGTTACAACACTGATAGATGTCTGTTACATAATTCAATCTGGTAACGACACTGGAAAGCCTATACTACAGTTCAAGGCGAACATATCTAGTCTTAGAAAAAAAAAGGGAAAATTCCAGTAAGCCTACTCACCCCCGGAAATATATTCGCCTCTGTTGAGAAGAGTCACACTATACACCACATACTGCTGACCTAGGTCTACTTGCCACCAGGGGTCTAGTGTGTTATTTGTGTGAGTGCAGGATTTATAATAATAATTCACTGTCGTGTTTCCGTCTATAGCTCGTCCTGGAACTCCTTCACTTACAACATTTATTTGTTCTGCCCTTTTGCCATATGCCACGTTATCTGAATTAGGCACAATAATGGAATGAAATCATCCTATCGCTTTCATACATGTATTCGTGTGAGAGATAAAGGTCATCACACAAATCGCAATTTAACAAGAAATGAGTTCACATTATATACGTGTACGTTATTCTTTGTTCTGTGGCTTTCACATTGTCGAGAAAATGTATAGCTTTGAAGTATGAAGAATTTAGAATTATATTATATTATATTATATTATATTATATTATATTATATTATATTATATTGTATTATATTATATTATATTACTGGTAAACATACCGCAACATTGTAGACAAATTTTATGCAACACTAAGCGTGTCAAATTAAAATCAGCGATGCTGTATAGGATTCACTGAGGTAGGCCTACGTACCAGTAGGACTAATTTCGGACCTACTTTTTTTAAAAGCGAGTTAAAAAGTGAATTAACTTACAGGGGTACGTGTATCCTCTAACGATGACCTCACAGAGTCGAAGAGTTTGTTGCCCAGTTTTCAAGATCGTGACGTGGCGTGCTAGGATTGGTGGGCTTATGTTGTACCTTAACACTCCTCCAAAACACTGTGCATTTGTAGAGGAGGTGCAATTAAAATGGTTCGAAGTATCATTTTTGATGCACAGTTTCTCATCGTTCTGCGGACCTACAAATAAAATTCCTTAGGAATATCCCAGAAAATGAACAAGCAGAAAGTATAGACGAGCAGTGTTGCCTAGTTAAAAACACATCTGAAATATGATAAATAAAACTAGTGTTTAAAGTTAACTTGAAAAAACTTTTCAAAAGTATAAGCCATTGACCTACAATTTAAACTGGCATTAGCAATCATTAAAAAGAATCAATCCTATTGTGCGAATGAAAAGGCTATTCTTCAACTTCATAAACGTTTTGCACATAAACACTTGGAATTATTTAAGAGAATCTTACGTACAAAGAGGCCTTCAATGTAGAAAAGACTTACAAACTGTAGCAGGTTTTATCACTGTCACTTCACGGATAACACTGAGACCTTCAAGATCCACGGTCCAGTAAGTATTAAGTTGATGGTGCGTTCTTGTACAATCAGAGTCAGCCGTGCTGTTGTTTCCATCCACTGCTAGAGTGGCCGAGAACCACTCGTCATCTGTATAAGAGTAGTTGGTGTTTGACTGACTGGCTGGCTTGCCATAAGCTAGGTTACCATGCTCTGAAATAAATGCAGAATAGGATGTATAATACTAAAAAGACAATACAAAATATACATGTTGAAAATATCTAACCCAACATTATTAAAATAATTAAAATATTGAAAGATATTGGATTGGTTGAAAAGAGAAACAAAATCAAAATCTAAAGACATCTAACAGCGTTGTTAAAAAGCCAAAATAACAACTCTCACAAATGTTTGTATGTTGTCGCCGTTGAATAGTTGCAATAATGTTTAAAGAGCTGTGACTCACCATCATGGCATCCTATTCCCCAGGGGTTGTCCACGCAGTGTTCAGGACATATTCCTAGAGTCTGTTGACATCTCTGTCCTTGTTTACAGAAACACCCAGTCACGTTGTCACACTGCCAGCCAAAGTAACCGTCACCTTCCATACAGCACATACACAGGTACACTGGTGTTAGAAAGAATGTATTCAGAAATACGTAATTACAGTGTCACACCGCCATTCAAAGTATCCTACCATCCACATACATGTAGCACAGATACATGCAACTTTGCAAGTACTACCAGTAGTACATTGAAAATGATAAGAACACAGCACCACTCCCCGGCCAAGTAAATAAACATAAATAGCCATCACCTTTCAAACAGCACAGCCACCTGTGCAATGGAAATAAAAATACTACACATACAAGCACCCAAGTAAAGAAACCGTCATCTTCCAAATAGCCCCAACATACATGTTTGTAGATACAATACAATAGAAACATTTATCATTCATAGGGTGAGAACCATAGGGTGAGAAATATGCTTAGGGGGAAGTTCTGAAGTTTTTTTGTGCATTACTCTAGAAGTAGGCCCTACTTAATAACCCCCCTCCCCCCCCCCCCCCCCCAAAAAAAAATCTCATACTTCAAAAGTGACGGCCCTGTTCCTGCTTTTCGTTAAAATATTCAAACCTATGTTAGCTCTAGGGTATAGGGTAACTGTCGGTCTAATAATTGTAACTCCCGTTACTTTTGAACTTTTAGCCCAACAAAAAAAAAATAATAATAATAATAACAAAGGTGACATGCTTGACGATAAGATCTTATTTTAAAGTACCGCTTAAAATGCTTTGTAACTAAGTAATCTTTACATGTAAAATGTCCGGTTTACCTGTTGAAAATATCACCCAGACAGTCAGAAAGTAGAAGTTCCTCAGTACAACAGCCATCTTGTCCTTTATTCTACCTGGTATTGACACATTTTATCGCTCGCTTGTTCCTTTGTGTTACACCTGAGGTACTAAATGGACAAAGGAACACTTCTTTCTTTGAGAAAATCGAAAAGATTGAACTAACTTTTCACCTACCCAAGTAATCTAAACCGCTGTTAAATCAATGAAATAGCGTATCTTGACAGTGTGTTAGAGCTATTCTTTGTATTTTACCTTTGCAATCATACATAAGCATGGGTCCCCTTTACAGTGGACGGCGTCCTTTCTGCGTCCCTAGTACGACCCCGTTTGAGAAAAAAAAAAAAATCTGCCGACAACTGGCCCATCATTGAGCATTCATTTCTATACGACCACAGCGAAGCCAGTTTCATGCTCAGACAAAGGACGCAGAAAGGACGCCGTTCAGTGTAAAGGATATTTCACACAAGTTGACAAACTCGTCGACAATCATGTAGCACCAGAAAATGCATTGGTCTAACAAATTTGTACGGGGAAAACAGGAATTGACTAGGAATGAGGCATGCACCGGCAAATTGCGCTCTTTTTCTGAAAGCCTCCAAGAGTGGAAAATGGCCAGCATTTGAATACGGCAGAGATTGTGGGTTTTGTGTTGATGAAAACACAACTGGATGATGGACACGAGGAAAATGTTCTGGGGGGGGGGGGGGGGGGGGGGATAAAAAAAAAAATGTTTTTTTTTGATAAA